TTGTGAGTGTGTTGTGTGTGTGGTGTGTGTGTGTGTGTGTGTGTGTGTGTGTGTGTGTGTGTGTGTGTGTGTGTGTGTGTTGCTGATGCTTATGTAAAAGCTATAAGCTTGATGTGGTACCAGCATGCAGTAGTGTTTGACTAAAGCAAGGTGGCACTGTTTATCCTCTAACTGTAAAAAGTGTGTGTGTGTCTGACATTGTGTCCACATATTGTCTAATCCATTTGTGTTTTTGTGATGTGTGTGTGTTTTTTATTTTTATTTTTTTTAATAATGGCATTATACAGTGCGTGAACATCCCTGATTGCATGTGTGTGTGTGTCTGTGTGTGTCCATGCTGAACATACAATTTTCCTGTATGTCCTGTCAGGACGTGCTGCAATTGGCTAATTAATTCTTAGCAAGTACATCAATTATTAAAAACACTCAACTGTTCCATCTGTGAGTTGCAACATGTAAACACCATCTATTGTTTACAGCAGCTGGGATAATTTCATATCCCGGCTGTTAAAAATTCAAACGACGAGACCATCAGACGCACGCAGACTCTGCGTCTGATTGGTCGCCGGCTCTGACTGCCCGTGCGAGAGCAATCTCAGTAATAGTGATGATAATAATGTTTAAGGTTATCTTACCCTCTCGTGACAGGGAGGTCAAAGGTCAGGCTTGGCTATACGCAGCAGCCTTGAAGCTGGTAGGGGGTCAGTGTCAGCAGGGTGGAAGGCGCTTTTCATATGAAGATGCTCGCTATCACTACAGTATGTAAACAGTATGTGATCTCGGGGTGTATTACTCATGCAGTTTGACTATGATCATTTGTTATGTGATGTATTTTCTCTCAGATAACAGACCTTTTCCGACATGCCATAGCAGGAAGAGCTCATTATGGAGGATGCAAGTAGTGTGGGGGAAAAAAAAAAAACATAACTCAAGGTCATCTTACTTTTTCTAATTTCAACCACTATTCCTAGCCATACCCATAATCCTTCTAAAAAAGAAAAAAAAAACCCATTTATCTAGGGCTGGGCGATAGAGCTAAAGATTTATCACGCTAAAATGTTTCATTTCAGCTCTATCAATAATCATTGACCATCTTTAATGCCGTTTTCTTTCTTTTTTTAACTAAAGACCACTTTATGTATCAGTGTTCAGTCATACGGTATTGTTGGCGAGTACCTCTCCATTGTTGACTGCCTGTGGATTGTTTGTTGAGATGTAACACATGTAGGTTGTGACTGACTCCAAAGGGTGAAAGCAGCTGTGGTGATTCACTCGTAGCACGCTCCATTATCAAGGAATGTAATGGCTGTTTATGAGGCCGGGCGTGTTCGTTATGTGCTATCATAGTGGTTTAAAAGAAACTATCGCTGTTCTGTTGAACATTGCTGATACATATTGCTTTTGTTTTATCGCCCAGGCGTTTTCCTGTTTTTATTTGTATGTCGCTCATTGTTTGAACAACTTTCCCATTGTGAGCATAATCCTCCTGAATGAGCGTGCCGAGCTCCATCAGCTGTTCTCAAAGAGTTGTTGACATTCTTGGAAATGTAGTCTTTTACCTCCATTTCTGCAGTCATTTAAATCTACTCTGGCAAAGTAGATAGCCATTTGATAGGTCAAAAAAAAAAGAAAATTACACAACTTCATAGTAAAATAACTTTTTACAATCTGAATAAGAGCCTTGGTTAGTCAAAATAAAGCTAAATGATAACGTTTTCATGTATTAAAGGATGTGTGTGGGTGGGTGTATGCTTGCCTTTCTATAAAATTGACTAAATAAGTGTTTATTTGTCTGCCAGAGGCAACATATATTGCAACATTTTATAACTCTGTGCTCCAGGCAGTGTGTATGGGAATCCGCACTGACACAGTGTTTATCTCCCTGCGTCACGCATGATATTGTAGACGACTTTCATGTATGTCATGATAATCGCTTTGGCTCTGCAACACACACACACACACACACACACACACGCACACACACACACACAGTCCTCCCAGCCAGTCCTCCCAGCCAGTCTGGTCACGTTGGATACACACGCTGCGTCGTGATTTACAGACGATCATAACATGACAATATAAAGGGTTCAGCCATTTGTATTTGCCACGGGTATCAGTGTGTGTTTGTGAGCGTGTGCCTGTTTGTGTGTGTGTGTGTGTGTGTTATGGAAATGAGACAAAGGGGTCACATTATTCAGCAGTAGTTGACATGCAGGCTCCCCAGGTCCATATCAATATCCCCCCGCAGACGCAGCAGGAAAAATAAGGCGATTTGTTTCCTAGAATACTAATCACAGTCAGGAGGGACCGAGAGGAACCTGTGTGTTAAGTAAAAACGCTGTGTGAAACCATTCAAGGTGTTGTTCTTCATCCTGGGGCACAGGGTCCTCCAAAAGAGCATGTTGGTGCTGCATTCGAAGGACCGAATTTCAAACCGCTGTGCTGCTTTGGAAAAATACGTGTTTCCCAAAGTTTCCGTGCACTTTGCAATATTTATGCCTGTAGTCCCTTCTGCAAGGAGCGGCTGACTGATGGCTTGAATATAATCTGTAATGAGATGTCCAAAACCAGCTCCTTTAGCAGCTATTCACTAACAACAGGACAAATCGTACAATATGAAAGGGTAGGTTCACTCAAATTACAGAAAAACCAAAGCGTTTTGTCTCCTCCCCGTAGTGATATATAGCCTTGCAGATACGTTTAGCTTTAGTTTATTAGACTGTAGAAACTTTTCCCCCTCCACACCTTTCTTTTTTTTTTTGTAGTAGCTGTATTAGCAGCTTTGGATTCAAACTCCAGCTTATCAGAAAGTGACTGTTTGCTCAAGTAATGGAGTCAGGGACGATTTTGCCATCAGCATTTCTCACCTCAGTTTGACCCTCGTCAGCACCCATCAGCTGTCAGCTATGTTGGCACCCTGCTAGTTCATTTTGTGCTCATTCTGGCGGCCCCTGTGTACACAAGCTGTAGTGTTTCCGCCACCTTGTTTGATTGATTTCAAGGGGAATCCGATTAATCCGCATTAAGAATAACCACATAGAAATAGCCAATCTTCTCACTGGGGGTCTTGTTTGTTTGTGTAGCTCATATAGAGGCATCAGTGTTAAATTAAGGCTGTTTTCATAACCAGTTAAAAAACTACTTGTTGTACATTTAAAGGTTATGGGTTACAAAGCATGTGATTAATGGAAATAGCTCATCGAGACTGAAATGCGGTGCCCCAGAAGGTCCATATTTCTATACTTCAGCTTGTTCCAAATGAAGCAATACATGATTCATGTTGTTGATACTTTGTGTTTGATTGAGTGATGAGTGGAAGCAGCAGGGCGGCCTTCATCAGCATCGCTCCCTGCATGTGTCAGCCATAAAAAATAAACTCCCCGAAAAGCAAATCATCATCACCCCTCCACACATTAAAAGAAGTTGTTGTTGTTGTTCGGAAACGAATAAATCGTTTTTGAGGGGTAGCTCGGCGCTCGTGTCTCCGTACGTGCACGCCATTGGTGTGTGTGTATGTGTGTGCGCGCGCGCCCGCACATCGCATTACGCTCCGAGACTTCTGCCTTGATTGATGCTGTCAGCGAGTTTGGAGAAAGAGACGGAGGCTCGGGAGGGAAGAAGATAAGGAGAGAAAAGAGGAAAACAGATAAAGAAGAGAGAAAGAGCTCAAGAAGCATCCATCAAGCGGCGCAATCAGATTGTTTTCCTGGCGTTCTGTCTTTTCTTTTCTTCTTCTCTGCATCTGCCAACCCCTCAATTCCTCATCTTTTTTCTCACTCACTCTCTCTAATGCTCTCTCTCTCTCTCTCTCTCTCTCACACACACACACACACACACACACACACACACACACACACACACACACACACACACACACACACACACACACACACACACACACACACAAAGGCAGTAGACGAATCTCCTTTGCATGGCGTCGACCAGGTGCCATGAGGATATTGAATCACGGAGGTTGAGGTGAGAGGCGGCGTCACAGCGTGATGGATGATACATATTTTGCCGCCTCCTCCTTGCTTATTGTTTACACACGTAAACACACCACACACACACACACACACACACACACACACACACACAGCCTCCGTGCTCCTTTGTTGTTAATTGACGTCCTCCACTCGTCTGTTGTTTTATTTCCATCCCTCGTTCCATTGCGGTTATTGCTTTTCATTAAGTGGTCATTTCCTTCGCCTGCACCGTCTAATGAGAGCGTCACGCCGCCACGCACCCATTTATCAAACCACGTAGCCTACGATGGCACAGTCCCGCAGTCAGCACACACACACACACGTTCCCCTTCGCTCTATCTGCCATCATGTCCCTGTCTCAATTAGGATTGTTTGTCGTTCCTCTGCCCTCCATCCCCTGTTCATTTGGCCGCCCCTGTCTCTTCCCGCCATCTCATTGTGGCAGCCGTGTCATTGTGTTTGACAGCTTCTCATTCTCGTGTCAGATCTCATTTGACTGCTAATTTCATACATACACACCTCGCCTCGCCGTGTGTGTTTGTGTGTGTGTGTGTGTGTGTGTACCTCAGAACTGGCCTCTGCACAATCGGCGGTCAGATTCTTTTTCTTCCCCCTTTGTTCAAAGAAGAAGAAAGTTGTTAGGCAGCAGAAGTGGCATCAGCCGGCGTGTTATGCACTGTAAGAGGTTTGAGAGCGAATGAGCTGTGAATCCAGCTCTGTTTGCTTGCCTACACACACACATCTGCACACTTGGCAGAATGAAGCAGGTTGCTTCCCCACTGTTGGCAAGATGAATCACATAAAAGCCTCACTGTGATCATGGCACAGCGGAGACGCTATATAACCTGGCTGCGTGTTTTCCAGCTTGTTCATATGCCAGGAATCTCATTGTTTATACTGTCATGCTCATCTGGAGGAAAGCTTGTTCATTTGAGAGCGTGTTGCACATTATGTTTTAATATTTAAGAGTATTTAGGACACAGTTTGAGCCTGGCTTGTTTGTGTCTCTTCCAGCTGGTGGCCGTGTTCGACGAAGCCCAGCTGGGGAGGGCGGACAGTCCCAGAGAGATCATGTCCAACGGCTTCTCCAGCGACGCCCCCAGCCCCGAACTCCTCCACTACCATCCCCACCTGCAGTACCAGGAGCCAACCAGAGGAGAGATTGAAGTCAACGAGGCCATCCTCAAAGCCAGTATGTCTGATCTGCTGTAAATGCTTTCTTGTTTTTTTGTTTTTCAGCCCAAGGTGTTCGCTTCATCTCATGAAAAATACATTTATCCCTCAGTTAGAGCTGATTTTAATTCATTAGAATTAAAAGTCCCGGTTCTGGGTGCAGTTTGAAATGTAAATCTCAAACACTGAAGCAATGCTCAATCAACACTTTGGCAATTTTTGTGCATGTGAGAAAGTGTATCATGGTGAGACAGCAGGAGGTGCGCGTGTGTGTCTGTAGGTGTGTGACTGTATGCGAAAGAGAGTCAGAAAGTACATTAATGGAACAGCTGGAAGCTTTACTGTATAAAGAGTAACGTGATGGCGTGTGAAAACAGATGCGGTGTTGACGCGGCGTTCGCTCCTGTCGTCCTCACTTTAACGTTCTGTACTTAGTTTCTTCTTGTCTTCACACGTTGCTCACACCGAGAGCCACAAAGGCAGCGAATCAGGGGCTTTTTATATATATATATTGACTATCTGCTAGTCTCTGCTCCTTCCAGCTTATCTCTGTACGTCAGACCATTTACTGACAGCGGCTGAACTACACTTCCACTGCTTTATATTCAGCCGTGAAGTCACATTTTCGCACGGGGAAGTCTATTAAGGTATTTGACTGAACAACATGATGATCATGATATTAATAAGAGCCACGCTGCTCCTTCATTTTGTCTTTGTCACTTTGTTATTCTCATACTGACAAAAGCGTCCCTCTGTGCGCCATTAAGGTGATGGATATACTCCGACTCTGCTTCTGAAATTGTAAATATCTTGATAAATTAATGCTTAACTCATTATTCAGTCGTCACTTTATAATATGACCAAGCGAATCCGGGGCTGATGTGCATGTAGCCAGTGACTCTCATAACCAAACTTATTCTAAGCCTCCTGTCGTTCACTATATGTCATGCAACGTAGCGCCGCCCAGCCAGTCACAATCTGTCTGATATGGAGTGCAGTTAGATCTCAGGTAAGACAGCAAGCAGACAGACAGAATAGAGTGGTGATGCTGATCAAATATGACAGCTAACGCAATTCAGTACAAGTTCAAAATATGATCAGAATGATGTCATTTCTCTCGCTTAATTGTAAACAAAGAGTGACATGCCAGTGGATTTATAAATGATGTGGATATATTACATTATTATCATTATATCCAGCCCAAACCTGATTTAGGACAACCTGACTTAAATCTGCTAGACAAGCAATGTTTGCATCATTCCGCCCCATTACAACTCTTTTTTAACTCTATTTTGTTTACTATTCTCTGACTTCCATTCCTTGCGCTATTTAGCTGTTGGAGCGATTTTTTTTTTTATCTGCGAGTGCAACAGCAGGAAAGCTTAAAACGCCAAGCAGTCTTAAGTGTGCAGTAGAGCCACAACACGACCACCGAGTAGCTCTAACAAATGATTCCATGTCTGTTAAACGATCACGTTTTATGAGGAGAGTGTTGTAGTTATAAACATTTTATCTTCTTTGTGCGTTTAACTCCTGCGGGGGAATTCTGTGTTTACTTGTTAAGTCAGAGGTTAGGGTCAGCCAAAAAAAACCAAACAGCAAAACACTTCTGCGGTTGCCAGCAGTTCAGTGACTCGATCTAGGTCACTTCCACAAGGCAGATACTGAAAGGTAAGCGAGTATACAGTTGCACAGTATGCGCAGGTGATGATTATAAAAAATGCTTTTAAATGATATGAGCAAGGAGTGGTATTTTTTTTTTTTTATAAACTTTTGCAGTCAGGAAATAAAGTGAACAAGTTACTGGGTCATGGTGCATCTCCAGTGGGAAACATCATCACAAGACTAGTCAGTGAGACGCCTGAGGGAGCCTCTGGGGAAATATGTGCACGTTCTGGGCCGCAGTGTTTTCTGGTTATAGATACATTTCACTGTAAATAATCTAGAGCATGATTTCTGTCTGTACATGCCATTCTTTTCTATTTCAGTGCCACTGGCAAGACACACATTAAGGATTAAATGAGCTGGATGTGATTCAACAAGGGTCTGTCTAATCACCGGGCCACCCCATCACCCCTTTCATTTTCCTCTCTCCATCTGTTGGCTGTAGAAAAAAAAACTGTGTGACCCCCCCCAATACACACACATACACACACCTGCCCTTTGCCATCCCTCTCCCTCTGCCCGCTTTTGCCCTATGCCCCATCATCTGCCCCCTCTCCACTCCCAGCCAGTAATTTCTTCCCTACTCTACTATTCAGCTTCAACCACCTGCCATCCAGCTCCCCATCCGGCCCTCGAGACCCTGACCCATCACCACTCCCCTCACCCCCACTCGATA